GTTGCTCAGTGGTTGAATACTGGGCAGGCACACAGCGGAATCCGGGTCGGAATCCCAATGTGTCATAGGTGTTTTTTTATTTATTTACCGAGTTTTTTTTTCGTTCAATATAAGTTACAGACACCATCATCGGCGGCGGCGGGGGACAACTACGGTACCATGCGTGACCCGTAATTTGATCTCATAACAGCTTTTGCTGTAAAATGGGGGCTACTTTTTCACGGATATATATTTGAAGTACTCGAGCCGTGGAGTGAAGTTTGGTCTAGATCCCGTGAGATTCTTTATTCCTAATGTTCTCTGTCTGAACGTAAGGATCTGTTGTAACATGACCCCAAAGGCGTATCTGACTTAATCTTTTGCGCCTCGATTTTAGACCACATGTATTTTTTTATTTTTTGGTGATGCAAAATGAAGGGCCACAGGCTGCCGAAAAATGAGGAGCTCACGAAGTCTCACTCAAAAAATATTTTTCGCTGTTAGGAGATCAATTTTCGGGTCACGCGCAGTCGTTGTTGTCCGCCGCCGCCGCCGGTGTAGCCACATCACGCACCAATGACACAGTGGGGCTTGAAACTGGGTCTGCTGGGTGCCAGCTCTATATTCTACGACTTAGTTACGCTGCTGCTTGTAACCTGTTTTCAAACTTGCCTTAGGCAGGCATGGTTTAGCACCTGTGGCACAGTAGGCACGCACACGGGTCGGCTGGGTGCCAGCCCAGTATTCAACCACGGAGCTACACCATTGTTTTTTTTTCTTTAATGAATGAAATTATCACTAGTGAAGTACACACAACATACTTCGTCAGAAGTCAGGCAAACACACACAAGCGTCGAAAATGGGAAGCCACTCCGGAGCGGGGTCAAAAGTATCAACAACACTGCGCACTTGAGCAGCTGCTTCTCGGAAGACAGATCGAGCTACACCGTTGCTGACTTGTTGGGAAACTTGTCTTAGGCAGGCTTGATGTCGGGAAAGCAATCGCGTTGATACGACTTATGAAGCGTTTTACAACAGCGACATAACAACCAGTCGTCGCACAATGCGAATAGCGTAACGTGTGGGCCGTACAATGCTCCAACCCATTACAAAAGCTTGTTTTTGTCTTGTCTTGTCTTGTCTTCTAGGAGATCTTGGCTCATATTGTTCAGCTATTAACTGTGGCGCACACCCACTTCAGCCATAATTCCTCATCGTCGTCAGCAACTGCGTGGACAATTGGTACAAAATTCCTAGCAAGTGTTCAGCGGATACCACGCTTCTCAGAAGAATGACGAAAAATAGCATAGCGAATGCCGGCCTATTATCCAGAAGCTTATTATTAATGCCCTAGTGGATACCAAACAAGTGTGCTTGCAGTATTTATCCAATGAGTGTTTCGAAAAAGGTTCTGAAAGGCCGCTCTTCTAGCTTTCGCTGTGACTGTGCTGCGCCTATACCACGCAGGCCTGGCGTTTCTTTTCTTTAACGGCGTCACTCGTGGCCCGGTCCGAGTCTCGGAGACTTTACTTTTCGGTTCCCTGGGCAAAAGTTGTAACGGTATATTTTACGCTACATTCAGTCACCAACTAGCATGGATTTAGAAGGGCGTGAGAAAGCAGAGACTAAAAGACTTTTGATCACACCATCACAATCAACAGTCTTCAGGTTTCTCGAGCCGTCCTGAATCCATGAATCTGTATACCACTCCCCCGTCTGTCAGGGCTATACTCACCGACTAGCACCGAAACGTGTTTTGTTACCAATGGCACTGTGTCGCTATATCGGTCTAAATGTATCGTCGCACAGAGCAGAAGGCTGGATGGGGTTGTTCGTTTCAAGAATATTCTAAGCGTAAACACACATCTTCAGCGGAAACTTGAACTTGGATGAGCCGCCGCTCTGGCCAATTGGTTAAGGTGGTCGACTAGTCCAAGTTCGCAAGAACGAATACCGGTCGTGGTGGTCGTCTTAAACTGGGGCTGAATGCTGGAGGCCCGTGTACCTATATATACGCGCTCGTTGTCAGAGGTTCGAAATTTCGGGAGTCCTCCACCACAACGTACGTCTTAATTATAATGTTATTTTCATTTCTTTATATAGTGATTATCCAGGTCTAAGATGTCAATTTAAGGCTTACTTTGTTGTTAATGTGACTCGATAGTGCCGAGTGTTGCTGTCGGAATATTTCGTGCTTATGCGCGAGGGAACTCCAATAGAGTGGTAAGCGGTGAATTTGGAGTGGGGCTTTGCCTCAAGACTGAACTGCCATGCAGAAAACGCGTGCCTCCTGCCACGTCGCTGTAGATGCAGTGATGCACAACACTCAAACCAAATGGAAACTCGCCTTTTACCTCACGTAACTGTTTATCTTCTTTGCGACAAAGATAAACATGTACTCGTGTAAAAAAATGCCTGTCCACGCTTGCGAGATGGTCTAAACACGTCATGTCTTGGCTGAGTAACATCTCGAACGGGCAATACGACTACAATGTTGAACAGTTCACGCGAGCGTGCCTCCTCTGCTGCTCGTCGCATGGAAAATGTTGAAGCTACGTTGATGGCGAAAAATTTTGGAGTAAAAGGATACATTGCAAGCATTCTGGGATAGACAGAAGTTAATAGACATAGCTTAATAACAGTTTAAAAGGTCATGATTTTTAATTTTGTCACAATATCTTCTCAAGATATGGTGGCTTCTTCTTTCTGTCTGTAAATGTGAATGCAGCCGAGACATGCAGTGAAGTTCAGTTTAGATCTCGTGAGCTATTAATTCGTGACGTTCTTTGTCTGGGCATAGGTATCTATTGACTTCAGCATTGTTCGACGAGAAAATTTGACTGCTTCTTATGCTTGCCGAATGCGGATCGGCTTTTTCTTTCTTTTCCTTCTAATATTACAGCTATACGGCACTAGTAATAGTAAATTCATCAAAATTTTTTGCAGAGTTCACTCCACGGCAGGCACTTGGGAACTTTATCCCTTCTGACGTAGATATTGGAGTGAAACGTTCATTCCAAAAAGAAAGAAAGAGGTAAGAAAGAGAAGGAGTATTTTTCGATTATACTGTATATTACTCCAAAGGGATGTGGATTACAGAGGGACGGTGAGTAAGGTTATTTGCCTGTTGGTTGTCGTCGTTGTTTTTGTTCTTGTATTGCTTCATGGATAGTTGGTACCTACTCGGAGTATTGGCCAGAAATCGAATGAGTCGTGAAAGCTAGTCAATCATTAATGTTCCTGGAATCACAGTTGAAAGCAATTTAATATTACTCCTGACTTAATATGCCAAGTTTAACAAGGACATTATTTTGATATCTTTACAAATAGCAACACCATCGCGGACGTTCGCATTGCATAGTGGATGCTGTTATGTGTGCCGAAATTAATAGATTACAAAAATCACAGCATATCCGCGGAGGGAATGGCGATGAGTGGGGTGAAGCGTCCGTTCGTTCATCGGTCTGTGTGGCTGTCCGTGTATGTGACCATGCGTGCGATTGCGTTCAAGAATACAGAAGGCGCGCGAGTAACACCGACGGGACGCGAGCCAAGGAAGCCGAGCGCAAGCGTTTTCAACGCGCCCACCGCTCTGCTCCGTCAATGCCCCACCAACGATCCGCCACGTACGGCGACTATCATGAGACTGAGAGAGGCACTCGTTCTCCGCGTACCCAGGCACAGCCCGCGCAGCAGCCAATCGGAGAGTAGCGGTACGGCGCCATCTAGAATATCCT